TTGCTCTTGTAGGTTAATATTCGCTTTTCGTTTGAAAACTGCCATGCTGACACGGAAAGAATAGGGCCGTTCCAGGATGTAACGCTTGCTCGGCGTCCCTTAGCACTCTGCTAGGATAAGCAGTGTGATAAGACGGATATTGAATGATTGAGTTGAGTACCCTGCTAACCTTAGCAGACACCTTAGCAGGGTTCTAGGCTTACTTTTAATAAATAAATTGAATACGGCCCCAGGTATGCGTTCATACCTGGTTGCAAACTCGGCATCTCGCTCTTCACTAACTCCCGTCCGTCCATCCGAAAGTTGAGAATGGAATGAATGAGGTAGAATGAATACGGGTAAACAGGTAGGGGGAAAAATGAACCCTGGGGCGATTTGAATGTGTTGGGAGGGTGAGGCAGTGGAGTGAAAGGAGGGTGGGGAAAGTAAGCACTCCAATGACAATGCAGGCGCGCTTGTTGTACTCGCTGATGCATCCACGTGAGTCACGTGAGTCCATCTCCCCACTCCACATGCCATTGCTCTACGTATATTTTCTCGCAGCCATACTTTAAGAGAGCTCTCTGATAAACGATTTCATGCTCCCTTGGCATTGACAGTGACAGAGAAAGAGTCCGTGTGTGACAGGGGAGGAAATGAAGAGAAACAGGAAGGAGGAAGATCTCATTGAAGTGTATCCTCTGTAGCCTTCAACTACTTCCCTGCTTCTCCTCTCTTCAGGTATGTCATTCCCTTTCCGAGGGCTTTAAGCTACCTGTCATTCCCTTTCCGAGGGCTTTAAGCTATCAGGCACGGGTCAAACTGACGCTAGTGAAGTAATTTTTCTGCACTCCTCACGTTATCTGTCGTCAGTCAGATGGCGCAGAAGCCGTGGATGCGTGTGCTGGATGCAGTGCTGCAGTGTTGCAGCTTTTTCGCTAGCCGTTAGGTGAGCTTATTGTCGACTAGGCTCATTTTTACTTATGATAAGTAGCCCTATGACTTTTCCCCCAAAATTACGGGGCTCTGTATCCTTCATTTCCCAGTACCGATCCTCCCACTTTTATCTTCGTACCCTCAGCGTCCTGAATTCTCCCAAAGAATCGTGAAAAGATGCTTGAAGCACAAAGTATTTTAGAATACTACGAAGAGCAGCATTAATAGGTGGAACCAGAAGTGTGGATGTTGCTCGGTGGGGCATCTAACTGTTATGTGGCCAATGGCCATCTTTCAAGCAATCTTCAGCATTGGTGGCGTGAACAGTTTTTTTCTCTTCCACAGCAGCTCACAGGGAGAATTCCTGCGGCGATTTGACAAATTTTTTTTTAAGGCATTCATTACATCTCAGTTGAAGAGCAGACGTTTAACTCGAGGATCGCTTGCGACTTATGCTGCGTGATGAATGAGATCCTCAGAATCGCAGTGATAAGCCCTCCCAAAGCCAGTCGGGTCAGTAGAGGTCCGACTGGCTTTGGGACCAAAGTCTCTCCTCTCCTCAGTCTCTAACAGACCGCGGGTCCGAAGAATTTAAAAATTGAGCCAAGAGGCATTGATATGACAAGTGTCCCACTGGAAGAGATGGCTCATATGGCCTTTGCATTCTGCTCCCGTGGTTGCAATCAGGGTCGGCCCTAGCTATTTCAACGCCCAGTGCAAAGAGACTCCTCAACCCCCCTCCCCGAACGGAGAAGAGTCAATCCCTAGAGCCCGAAATGACTCTGAAACGGAAGGCATTTCCACTTTATGAAATAAAACTGAGGGTGGCATCCTTTATTGCTTCATACATAAAGTCACGTTTTGGCGCCCCTGGTGAATTTGCTTCCTGTACGGGGGCACGTGTGGCACATGCCTAAGGCCGGCCCTGGTTGCAATGCACTTCATTCGATTCTTCAGCTCACTTACCAGGAGATGTATTTAATGACGGAGCGAAAGCTTCAACTTTGCATGCCACCTTTCACTCATGGCGTGGTCTGCTCTGTGTTGGCACTAGAATTGAAAACAAACGTTGGACCAATTTGACCCATCACAAATAATTGCGGAAGTCTTTTTCCACCTTGGTAGTTATGGTTAAGGGCGATCTTCATCAAGAATTTTATCATATTTTCATGTGGAACAGGTTCATGGTTTATTAGGATGTTCATCGAATATCACTTTTGAAGAGTTCTCAGCAATTGCTTGCACGATAGTAGTCAATAGGCTGACAGTCTTAACAAGACGCTCGATGGAATCTTCCATCATGTCGAAAGCCTCTAATCCTGTTGTGCATGTCATTGTATATCCTTGCCATTTCTGTAGGTCTGCTGCGCTTCTGAAGGTGTTCACCCGTGCGACGAGATATGACGAAGCGAATTTACATCGTCAGGTGGATCGTCGACGTCCTCATATTCTTGACCGGTAATTTCTTCCCCTGTGCCCCTTAAGAGCAGACAGATTTCGACAGATTCTTCTCGGATGGCTTCTTTAAACCGCTGAGTATAGATCTGATAATGTACCGGTTCGTTTTTGGTGCATTTCAGTATCGGGGTTATTGGCAGCTTCATTTGTGGGTAAATTGCCTCTTGGAGGTCCCTGGCAATGGGGCTTCCATTGCCTCGATCCAAAACTTCAATATGAATTCCAGGGAGATTCTATTTCTGCTCTGGCCCTCTTTCTGGGCTCATATATTGGCACCCTCATCATTGTGAGTCATTTAACTTTTTTTTTCTCCATATTTTTGTAATGGAAAGTTGTTAACCATTGCCTGGAAATAATCCAGGTCACCAGCAATAGCTTCATTTTAAGTGACTTCTTTCTTCAATGTTTCAAGTCCATACTGTAACTATTAGTTTCGGTAATGTATTGCAAAGCGAGTGAACCTACAAATAAGGGTTTCAGACGGCTGCTGGATTGCTAGACTTCACTAATGACAATCATGCTCGTACGAGTATTTCCTGGCTTTGTGCATTAGCTCTGTACACTACATCGACTTAGGTCATCGGAGTGGGATTCCTGTCGTGGCCTTCAGACAGGTCATGGAAGAAGAGGGTGAAGGTCAGCTTCGACCGTTATGGTTGCTTCCTCGTGGGTACCCTTTATACCCTGGCCGTGACAGAAATCCTTAAGGACCTCGCCGGAATGCCTCGACCGCACTTTTTTCACACCTGCCAACCTAACGCTTCTCGCAACTGCACTTCAGGGTTCGTTCCCTCGCCCTTCCTCGATCTGTGTGAGGATCCAGTCAGAATGGGAATTCCATCTTTTTTATTAGGGAATTCATCCGGCATTTTGAGTGCAGAGAACCTCGATCGAATGACTTCCGGGAGAGGTTGATGATCATGGATTCCTACAAGTCTTTCCCTTCTGGGCACGCCAGTCTTACTGCCTCTACCGCCACTTTCATCGTTGTTCGTCCTCCTTCTTCCTGTCCACAGTCGACCATACGAATGGAAATCAGGCGTCATCCTGTTTCTTGCAGTATTTTGCGTGGAAGCACGTGAGACCAGAGTGGTCGAGGGTGATGAGTCCCCTACTCGGGGTGCTGGGGGTGACCTGGGCTACATGGGTTGGCGTCTCCAGGGTCATGGACAGGAGGCATCATTGGTGGGACGTGCTCGTTGGATCCCTCCTCGGAGTTCTCATCACCTCCATCATCGTAAGGCTGAAATATCCCAGTTTTGTTGGTTCTCATTCGCGTTTTCTCGATGCATTGGTATGACAATATTAAATGCGTGGATACGATATGATACAACGCGGTATGATATGAATCACGGGATATTTTCGAAGTCATGAAGTCACGAGTACTTTTTAATGGCAGTAACAGTTCTTCAATAGTCGAATGGCGTGAACATGAGTTGAGTGCTGACCAAATGATTTCAGTGATATTGTCTCATGTCGATGTCGGTTCAAACATTTTTTAAATCGCGATCTACACATAATTTAAATATTAGGCCACTTTCGGTCATAATTCATGGTCAAGTAAGGTTCTCCTTCGGTAAATTTATATTTTATATTATAAAATTAATTCAAGCCGAAAACTTCTTAGCAGGAAATTTGGAAATGGGGAAATTCGACAGGTTTTGACCTATGGAATAATTTTAATCGATGTACAATATGTCTACATTCTACTAGTTGAGCGCTTGTTCAGTACAATAATTTATTATTCAGTGTCACTAATAACCAAAGGTTCATGGAACTTTGCATTCTCTTTCATTCTCATTTAATCTTTTCTGGAGGCCTACCTTTCATATCCTACACTCTTTGAAATCCTGTTACAGGAACCATGTTGCATCGAGATGGAATTACTGTTTCAGGAACACCGAGCATAACTGGCGAGGGATGTAAGAAGATAAATATATTTGGTCTTTGTTCTGGCAGATCCTGAGTCATGGTAGACGAAAGAAGATGAAGGGCTCCATATCGAAGGGCTTTGATTTTGACAACTATGCCTACTCCGCCAAGGAACCCTGATGACTCATAGACATGGATGGAGGAAATCTGCCTTACTTCTATATATCCATACCTGTATCTATCTTCACCCTTCTCTTCCCCTCTCTCTTCATTTTTCTTTCTTCTTAAACTCTCTCGATAGGGATCAGGCCTTAAGTCTTTGCATTGCCGAAAGTTGCTACTTGTGACTGATGTGATAAGCTGTAATATGAGTGAGTTTACTTTTTGAAGAAGCATTTCATGGATATGCTTTTTTATTATCTCGGAGTTTTCTTGGTGACTTCATTTTACGTTTCCGTAGTAGCATTTCTTGGTATGCTGTAAGTCAGCCCGAATCTACAGCAGAAGAGGGAAAAAGGGTTTGACGCAGCGAATCAAAATGCCATTTGCTGTTTTTGCTCAAATGCAATCGTGAAAACTGTACCTTGTGCTTATTTGGTGCTTTAGATCCCAACGAATACAGAAAGGATGTAGTATCCCTTTGACAAAATACCCTCTTGATGGAAACGAACTCCCGTTTCTCTATCACCCTGTGGATTTATCAGATAGAAACAGAGGTTAATTGTGGCTTACAAGTTCTTTGTCTCATTCGTGGCATCGCTTTCGGTGCTCTCTCACTTCGGTGAGAAAGCATATCACTTTGCTGTTTAAAAAAAGGATAGACCACTTCGAAAGTATCAAATGCTCCTTTCTACTTCACTAGTCCCAAAGGCTGCTTCAGGTACGAGCCCACCATTGGTGTAGGACTGCCCCACCACCCGTCTTGGCTGGGTGATTCCCTTGGAATCTAAAGAAATTAAACGAAATTGGAGAGAGAGGTTTATTGTACTCGCGTACTTCCTTCCCGCCGAGTCGATCTGGAATGAGGAACCATCACGAGATTGAAGACGGAGCCCGAAAAAGATTATATATAGTTCGTTCATGGTATGACAGTAGCGGGTAGTCGGCGGGGGGGGGGGAATGATTGGAGGTTGCCTCATCAGAAGATAAAACATTGCGGACGATTTAGGTTCGTATGATCGACCTGCTCTAAACAGACTCGCTGTACCGCAGAGTTAGGCACAAGGAAGGCCTGAAGCGATTTTTACAATGTTGTGACCTACAAATGAATTTACTCCACCTTTTAAAATGTACCGTCTTCCTCTGAATTTGCACGAGGGTCCCGAGATTGGGGAGTCACGAAATGTTCCCCGGTGATGTCATCGTGCATTTCCATCATCCATACCCATTCAGCATGAAAATGCATGAAACTACAGAAATGGATCCCATTATACTCGGACCATTTCGAAGGTAGGCAGTGTTTTTTGCTAATGCGGTCAAGAGCGCGAATAGAAATCTCGCAAAATTGGCCCGTGATCGTATTTTTTTCTAACGGAACGAATACTTAGAGTCGCATGATCCTATTTCGAGTTGCATGATCCTCCCACTGAATCGATTTTAACGAGAGAGGCACTGATGGAATTCATATTATAGAGCAAAGGTGTCGAACATACGGCCCGCGGAGGTGATTCATCCGGCCTGCCGTCTGCTCTTGCTTCGAAGAAGGGTTGAAGGCGCCATCACCCCTCCTTCACCATTGGCAATTAGACGATGGCATCTCCTAGTTGACCAGGGTTGTCAATATTCGAATAGAGAGGAAATGTTAACGTGCAGCAGCCACGGAGGCGCAGCCGGCTTCATTGGCTCGTCCGTCTCCGGCAGCAGCAGCGGCGGCGGAAGCATTCGGAGGAGCCACAAAGCCAGGCGTGTTATCTCGAACGACACAGCTGCTGTTGCAGTTACCATCGCAACTGCAGTGCTGCTGCTGTTATGGTTGCGTGCGAGTCAATGCACGTACGAGAATGCATATGACTCAGCTGCTGTGTTAATAAGTGTCACTGAGAAGTCCGATACCCTTCAATAGAAAATAATGAGATTCGTGTGGGATCAAGGCGTTAAAGGCGGGAAAAGACTGGGATTTTTACCCATCGGGGCAGGAGAATCGCCTGGAAAGGGAGAGAACTCATATACAGGGTGGTCCAGGTAAAGTGTAACAAGCAAAACTGCAATTTTCTTAGAAACAGCATGTTTTATTGATTTGAAATTTGCACAGCATGTTCCTGACATAATGTACCAGACATGACGTAAGTTTCACTCAGTGGCCACCTTTGGCCTTGATTATGGTCTTCAACCTCTTCTCGAAGTTGTTGACGCTGTTCCTCACCACTTTCTTTGAAATTTCCCCCTAAATACAAACCAAATCTTGCCTGAGATGATCCAGACTGTGGTGGGATTTGGAACATGCCTTGGACTCGAAGATCGACCATATGGCGTAGTCAAAAGGGTTCAGATCTGCAGACGACGGGACCACTCTTCCTTGGTCAAGAACCTTAACAAATTCTTCCAACTCCGGTCATGGGTCACATTAGCCGTATGAGACGTTGTTCTGTCCTTCTGGAAAGTCCAAGGCTCATCCCCGAACAGATCTTGAGCCCATGGGGGCAGGGCGTCCTGCAGGATGGATTTTATGAAGATAGTCCTACGACTAACGACCGCCAGGTTTCAGTCGCCATTTTCTCCGCTTGTGTTAAAACGACAGTCGAATTCAAGACTTGATTAAACAGCAGAAACGTAAGATTCCAACGAGTAACATTTGAACTGCAGGAGTCGAGTATTTGGGGTAAGAGGGAACTTTTAAATTTTGTTACACTTGACCTGGACCATCCAGTACATATATTGCCATTGAAATCTGACTTGAAGGTAGGCAGATCATTTTCTTCATACTACGTATTTAACATGGAAACGATCCATAGGTAGATTGTGGTTGCTGACACCAAGAGCTCGTTTTCTGCAGCTAACTGGTATTAACCTAGGTGCACGTGATGCGGGTCACAAGACTTTCTCGAATCATCACGTTCCACCTTCATTCGCGTAACCTTATCGCAGACGATCTGCTTGGGATACTTTGTTTTCGCTGGCGATCAGACGCTGCAAAATCTCGCCTCTGTGCTTCTGCCAATTTCGAATCAAGTCATACCCATCCCATTGACTTGCCGGTGACTCCGACTCTCTCATGGTATGTTAGTGAGAAAGCATGTGAACATTCTTTCTAGCTTTCAGTAGCGTATGAGAGATGTATCCTTGATACTGATGAATGAAGGACAAGAAGATTTGAAAAGTACTCGCATGAGCAGGAGAAAGTCAAACTTCAGCACAAAGAACAAGTTCCAGACTCACTTATATCAACATTCTTGGGACGAGTCACAATTCTTGAATCGAAAGCCATGTGTCTCTCTTGGACTAGACACGAGACTAAGTGACTCGTCAAAATTCTTGGATCGGGTGCCATATGCCGGGCGTGGACTATTGTCGAGCCTACGCTCGGCATATGGACCCGATCCCTCACGGTATCTCAGTAGATAGGGAACGAGAGCCATGAGAGATGCGCGAAAGTGACGTTATTTCTTCCTTTGCACCTTCGTTTTGTAAGAAATACACCCTTCACAAAATCGCCTTCACCTGGTCATTCCATCTAGTCTGCCTCTTCGTATCTCTTTTATACGATCGACACCCCTGCTTCCTTGAGCATATCAGTGGTGGGTGATTCGAGAGGAAGTGATTCAGTGATTCGGCACCGTGGCTTTTCTTTTAACACATTGCCCATCCCAACCAATATGCTATTGGTTCTGCTGCCATTGATGACTAGTCATCAATGGCAGCAGAACATGGGCAGTCAACGTGTTAAACGTCTGCGATCTGCGATTATCGTCCGAAGCCTGAAAGAAAAGGAGGGGATGAGAGATACTTGAAAATCAGGCAGAATGGTAGGTCTTCATTTCGAGAGGAAATCCTTCCTCTTCGCCCTGACTTGCAGTCTCGTTTTGGCGGCAGGAAAAGCTCCCGAAAAAGAGAACTCCGGGAAAAACATGAAGGAACTGAAGCATGAAGGTGAGTACCCTATCTCGTCTGGACTCGGACCCACGGCGTCGAGAACGACGAGATGCATTTCTCTCCTCTTGCATTCGTAGACGCCGATAGGAAAGAGAGTTCGTCGGTGGAGATGCGCTTGGGTCCCCACAAGCACGGACTCCATCGAGGGATCGCCCAGAAGTTCTTCATCAGAGGAGGCGAGAAATTTCCCCACGAGGCATGGGAGAAGGGACCCGAGGAGTCCAGTTTCGTCTTCCTCGAAGGATCCGAACGGGTCCGATTCCCTTCGCTTCCAGAACCATCCAGTGACGAAGAGAATCCCGACGACGAGGAAGAGATCGAGGATAAGAAGAAAAGGAAAGCAGAGGAAGAGGCTAAGGAGGAAAGCCCTGCGTCCTTTCGCGTTTCCGCCTAGAACCACTACCATCCTTCAGACTGCGTCACAGTTGGAAATCCCCGGCTCATGGGAAATTTGAATCGTGATTCCCCAGTTCTCCGGGAGCGATGCCATGCTCCTCTCGCTCTTCTTCGGTCCTACGCATCGGGGCGGAAGTAGATAAGGTCAAATTTATAGCGTGCTTCTGTTGCGATTTGGACCCCATAAGAAACGTGTTATGGCCCTGTTCCGCTCATACACAGCCACGATACCACCGGCGCAATCGTTGTCATTTACAGCTCGCTGCCTTGCCTGTGACTCTGAGCCACCCCGTGTTTCAGAATCACCGACATCTACAGGTAAGTACCCTGTTCGATGATGAGACGGATGTCTCAGCAGTGAGGGGAACTTTCATCGATGCCGAAACGAAGAAAACAATCGCAACATGTGCCACCTCGAATTTTACTAATACTCATTTTTCAGATGAGGGGCGTGACCGCCAATGTGATAATTGTCAGTGAACGAAGATTGGTTATAGCACACAAAAATCGGCGTCAGGATAAAAGTGAATTCCAAGCTGATGGACCTCAGTTTGGGAATCCTGCACTCCCTCTTCATGTTGAGACAGGAATTTCTGCACTTTTGCAGTGTGAATCCTTTCACCAGCGCATGTTTTCCTGTTATCTTCTCTAGTTCTTTTTTCGCAAAAACTTTCATTTTCCCACCTGATAAGCAAAGGAATGTCATATCAATATTGGTTTCGATATGAACTGTGTTGCGACTTTCCATGACACGGATGGGGAGCGATCTCAGAGACGTGGATGCGTGGAATAGGGGATGAAGATGAATAATAGGATAAGTCAGAAAAGCAGTCGAGTAGATATTGCTATGAAGCTGCCTGTTGATTTCGCGAAAGAACTTTGCCGTACTTTCGGAACTAGTTCAGTCGTACGTTGCCTTTAAAGGTAAGCCCCTGCGCTGAAGCAAGTTAAGGTACTCCTACCTCGTTCAGATGGGCTCAATGAGATGATAGTATTAAAAATACTTCCACTTCAGTGAAAGTATTTTGTAATGCTGCCAGAACTAGCTTGGAGAGAATACTTGGAAAATCCAATAGAGAAACACCGCTACAGCGACCCAAGTCCATCGGTGCCTCATTCGTCGACATTCGTATTACAGTTGTTACTAGCTACCTCC